ACAGAACTAGAAAAACAATCTTAAAATTTAATATGGAACTAGAAGAGACCTGGAATAACCAAAGCAATACTGAACAAAAAGAGCAAAGCAGGAGGCATTATAATCCCAGATTTCAAGTTATACTAAAAAGTTACAGTAATTAAAAACAGTACGATACTAGTTTAAAAAGAAAAGACATTTAGACCAATGGAATAGAAGATCCAGAAATAACAATGCACACCTTTAGCCATCTAATCCTTGACAAAGAGGCTAAAAACAAATGCTGGGGGAGGGGGAAGATCGCCTTTTTATCAAATGGTGCTGAGAAAACATGCAAAAAACAAATATAGACCTATCTCTCACCCTACTAAATATCAAATCAAAATGAACCAAAGACCTAAATGTAAAAACAGAAACACTAAATCTGCTACAAGATAAAATAGATAAAGCTCTTGAAGGTGTAGGAAAGGACTTTTTCTGAACAGAACCCCAAAAGCACAGGAAATAATACTAAGAATCAACAAATGAAATTACATCAAATTAAAAACCTTCTGCATAACAAAGGAAATAACACAGTGAAGAGACAATGGGAAAACATTTTTTCCAACTACTCCTCCTGCACAGGATGAATGTTTAGAATATATCAAGAACTCAGAAAAATTAGACTCCAAGAAACAAAAGACCCAATCAAATTGGCAAATGAAACAAATAAACATTTCTCAAAAGAAGTACACATGGGGCCGGGAATTTAGCTCAGCGGTTCGGTGGCCTGCCTTGCAAGCGCAAGGACCCGAGTTCAATCCCTGGTACCAAAAAAAGAAAGAAAAAGAAATACACATGGCCTAAATATATGAAAAAAAAATGTTCAGTGTCCTTGACTATTAGAGAAAAGCAAATCAAAACAAAATTGAGATTCCATCTTACTCCAGTAAAAATGGCTACCATTGAGGATTCAAGAAACAATAAATGTCGGTGAGGATGTAAGGAAATGGGAACACTTCTGCATTGTTGGTGGAAGTGTGAATTAATACAATCACTGTGGAAATCAGTATAACATTCCTCAAAAAAGTAAAAACACAAATTCCATTTAACCTAGCTATACCTTTCCTTGAAAGAGTTAAAGTTGTCATGCACATTATAGTGACACGTGTTTATAGCAGCAGAATTCTCAATAGCCTAATTATGGAAGTGGCCCCTATGGGCATCAACAGAAGAATGGATTAAAAAATGTGATATATAAATATATGGTGGTGTAATACTCAGCCATTAAAAAATAATAAATTTGAGTCATTTGTAGGAAAGTAGACAGACCTTGGGGCCATGATGCTAAGTGAAGTAAATCAGGAACAGGAGGTTAAATATCTCATGGATTCTCTTTTATGAAAAACCTAAAAGATAAATAGCATAAAGAATAAAATAAGGAGAAATGTTGGGAAACAGAAAGGTAGACTTTTGGAAATAGAAAGAAGACATAGGGAAGGGGAGAGGAGGCTAGGAGAAAGGGGAGTAAAAATGATCAAGATGGGGTCAGGGATGTAGCTCAGTGGTGCTGTGCCTGCCTGGCAAGCGCAAGGTCCTGAGTTCAATCCCCAGTACAAGAAAAAAAAAATCAAGATGCTATATATACAGGTACCAATTCCCCAAAACAAATGTAATTATTATGTATCACAAACATGTATTAATTGAAAAAATCTCAGGGCCAGAAGGGGCAGCATTCTGTGCACCCAATGTAGATGGGGCAGAGTCCTTCGCATGGGCTGGGTACGGAGCAGTGTGAGTCAGCAGTATGAGGCAGCAGTGGGCAAGGTGGGGACCCAGGTCACCACTGGATGGCCAGAGGCTGGCATCAGCCCATCCTTCTCCTTTAAAGTGGGAGGCTTATCATACATGACAGGTGTCCATCTCCCTCCAAATACAACCTCCACTCTGTCTGACCCCTCCAGAACCTGCCCCCTACTGGCTCTATCCAGGCCCACTGGCCTCCGCATACCCTGATGGGCCTCCAGGCTTTAGCATCCTCTGTTCCCAGGACTGAATGCTTTTCCTCTCCATATTTATGAATTCTCCTCCTTTCAAGTTTCCTCAAAGATCACCCCCCCAAGATACCTTCTGTGCCCACCCTATCAAAAATAGCCCCTCCCCGCCCACCCCCTCACAGTCTTATTTTTCCTCCTGGTTTACCACTACCTGACATCATATTTGGCTTGGCTTTGTGGATCTCCTAGTGGAGTGGAAGCTCCATGAGGGCAGGGGCGGTTCAGTTCACTGCTCTCTCGCCAGCCCCTGGGGCACAGTATCTAGGAAGAGCAGACTCAGTACACAGTACATACTTACTGGGTGGACAGATGAATGTTTGACTGATTTCTGGCTCCACAATTTTCTAGCTTGCATTGTTGCTTTGGACAAGACATTTCACTTTGAGAAACTTCCATTTCAAAAGATATCAGCAACCATCTCATAGATGTACTGTTTCAATAAATAAAACAGAAAGCGATTGGGACTGATGTATAATGGATCATTAAGTGCTATGTTTTGGATGTGTTCCCCAAAGGTCTAAGTATGGAAGGCGTGGTGGTCCCAGGATGGTACTACTAGGAGGAGGTAGGCAGGGTGTGTCTTTGAGGGGGCTTTGAAACTCCTACCCATTCCTCTGTCTCTCCTTTGCTTCCTGGCCATGAGCAGAGGCTTTTGCTCTGCCATAAGCTCATGCCATGATATGCTGCCTCACAGCTGGCCCAAAACATTTCAAGACCCACTAACCCTGGACTGACTCTTCCAAAACTATGAGCCAGAAGAGTCCTTTTTTCTTTAGAAGTTGATTGTCTCAAGGGTTTTGCTGTCATAACAGAGAGCTAACATGCTAGGATTATCCCCAAGGGTCTCAGCTGTTACCTGCCCACTGTGAGGCCTGGAGAAAGCTGATGATCTTTCTGAGCTTCAGCCTACTTGCCCATCAAATGTGGAAGTGAAGGCTCCTCTCCTCCCATACAGGGCTACTGCAGGATTCCAAGAGAGTGGACCTAGAAAAGCCCTTGGCAGGGGGCCTGACACACAGCAAACCACTGTTTGTCAGGAGTCTAGGATTCAGATATGGCCCCACCCCTCTCTTAGCGATCTTGGAGAAGCAGCTTAGTGTTCCTGAGCCTCAGCATCCTCACCTATAAAATGGGAAGGGTGACAGCACCTTCTACACAGCAATCCTTGGGACATGGTGAAGCTGGCCACTTAAAGGTTTCTCAAAACTCCAGGCCATGAACTATGTCAGGCAGGAGAGTGAGCACAGACGTGTGGGAGGGCCCGAGATGAGGAGAGGGAGCTCAGCTACAGAGCTGGGGGGCTGTGCCTCGAAGCAGCTGCACAGTGGGCAGACAGCACTGAGCAGTGAACCCCTCCCCAGCCAGGAGACTGCAAGAAGGCTTTGCTTTCCCTGTCGCTGTCCCCTCCGATCCTTCGGCCCTACGAGGACCTCTCCCTCTCCAGCAAGTCTCTCTTGATGGGAATGTTTGAAGGGCAGGTGATAACAGCAAGACCCAGAGGAGGCAACTTCTGCCTCAGTTTCCCTCCAGCATCACCTGGAATACACACAGTGTACCCTTGGATTGAAAGCCAAACAGAGGGGAAAACCAGAAAGGTCCCCTCCCTTAGCCTGCTTGACTGCTCCAAATTTTGGAGCAGAGGACTCCAGGTCCTCAGTCTGTTTTCAACCCTGGGGCAAGCCTGGAAGAATGGGTCCTCGGAAGTCAACAATACCACCTCTAACCCCGAAGCTCTATAGAGAATTCAAGGAAAGAGATTCTGGGTCCTAAACTGACAGGACCCACCACCCTTGTCCAGACTGTGCTTAGCAAAACACAGATGTGGATACACAGATGACTCACTTGGTGACTCTCTATACCACAACCTCCACGAGACGTGTTTTGTTTTTTATCTGTTTTGTTCTTTGAATTCCCAATTTCCAGAAGCATGCCTGGCACTTAGTAAGTGCTTCATAAATACACGCTGAATGGGTGGATTCATCAGTAAGTCAATGAATGAGGCACTGAGTCAGTGAATTACTAGATGTGAAGTTCCATGTGGGGTGAGATTTTTTTCCCCATTGTGCTCTCTGATAAATCCCCAGGTCCTAGTATACAGGCTTGGTGCAGAGAAGGTACTGAGTGAATATATGTGAACAAATGATTGCCTCAATCATTGAGTCAGCAATGCATTAGCATGTAATCTCTCTGAAGGTAAAGGTTTTCATTTGCTCAAGGGCCAAGCGCTCAGTCAGTAGAATAGCGACTGGTGCATACTACTGAATGAATCTTGTGAGTGAATGAATGAATGAATGAAGGGGCAAGGCCCCAGCCCTCAGTGAAGACTAGAGTTGGAGAAAGATGAATCACAAGAAGCCTCCCTGCCCAAACCTGGGCCCCTAGCCACCACTCGCCTCATGTTTTGTTTTGTTTTTAAATAATTTGTTGGTTGGTTTTAATTGTTGAGGCAGTAATACTTGGTTCATGAAACTGCAATATACAGAGAGGTGAAATAAATAGCTTATATATATATAATATATATAATATAGCTGGTTTTAAAATATTCCCTTATCATTGGTGTACTAGGTCACGTGAGTCACGGAAGGTCCATAGCAGCATCCTCCAGAACTGCGAGCAATGCAGGGTCACCATGATTGGACGAGGCCGTCTGTCGTCAGAAGGTCGAGGCGCGGAGAATTCCCAGGGCACGCCTTCCCTGCGCGGTGTCTCAGGACAGCTTGCAGTGGACAATAAATAAATGACTGCAAACCAGAGAGCGATTTTTGTTGGAGTTTTGGGGCAAGGATAGATTGGGAAAGTCATAGGGGGGAGTTTGTTAGGGATAGAGGGTACTACTTTCTTTGTTTTTCTTTTTTGTTCCTTTTTTTTTTTTTTTTTTTTAGAACCTTTGGGAATAAGGACTTTGGTTTCTCGAGTGTTGGTTTCTTCATTCAAGTCCTCCTCTGGGGACAAGTTTGGAGCTGTCTACTCCTAGATGGGAATAAGGACTTTGGTTTCTCGAGTGTTGGTTTCTTCATTCAAGTCCTCCTCTGGGGACAAGTTTGGAGCTGTCTACTCCTAGACAGAGGCAAGCACCTACGGGCTGACAAGGGTCCCTTAGTGAGTCTTTTGTCATTGGGGGTTTCAAGTCAACAATAAAATTCTTTTCACCCCCCCACAAGAGTTTTGGTTCAGTTTTTGTCTTCTTTTAAACACAATGTACAAAAATAGAGCTTCTTCCTTATTTTTCATGTAAAAATATTCCTCTGATGCAGTTCTCTGGGAGTATGAGTGTGGCCAGAAGGGCCTGCAGTGGCCACAGGGCCGCCTAGCCCGGGTGCGTGGGGCGGATACGCCGAGACCGCTTGGTCACCGTAGTGTACTTGAAGGGCTTCTGCAGCTCGGCTTGCCCCTTGGGGTAACGCTTCATGAAGTGCACATCCTGCTGGTTCTCCCGGGTCTTGGGGCCCTTGCGGGGTTTCCCCTTCTTGGTGAAGCCCACGTACCAGCCAGAGTACTTGGCCGACATCAGGGCAGTATAGTTATTCTCCAGAACCTTCTCTATGAAGACACACTCCTTGCTGGTGCCATCGGGCTACAGGGAAAAGAGGTGCAATATTAAAATGAAATTATTCAGTAATTCTTGTTAAAGCATGGGAAGGCTGATGACATTCAGGACCACTGTGACACATACAAGGTCCATAGCAATGGGACTGTGCAGTGAAGGGAAGAGACTGGACTCAATTCCCACCACAGCACGGGCAAGTGAGAGTTTACAACCGAGGATCAACAAGAGTCACTGGTGGAAAACCACCAAGAGGAAACATCACTAGTAAGGGGGAATCTAGCTAAATCAACCTAGGATCAGTTATTAAGGGTACAGTGTCCTTGTTAAACTGACTTAGCAGGGTTTTGCTGAAACTAGATTTGACAAGGAAGTACAGATAGACACAGGAAGAACTTGACTAAAGTCTAGCCAGAAAAGAGTCAGGAAAAGGTGATAAAGGGAACAGCAGGGATGAGGGAAACCACCCTGTGGAGAGGACTTTGGCAAGTGGCCAGGGCTGGGCAGCACAGCAGAGAGGGCTCAAAGTAAGCTTTTCACTTCTGTGGAGTTGCCTTTTGTTATTGGCCCTTGCATCTTTCCCTATCCTCCAATTAGGTAACAGACGCCCACTGTCATTCAGGATACTACTTCTCCACTCTCTTCCCTCAGAGCCAGGGACTCCACCTCACCCCCTACTACAGAGGCCCAGACTTGGCCAATCAAAACATTATTACTGCTCAGTTTCTGTGATTGGTTCACAAGCAGGCATGTGATCCAAGCCATCCAATCACAGTGTTGCTTGAGGCCTTCATATAAATTACCTCAAAAAACATAAGCAGATTCAAATTTAAGGAGTTTGAGGCTAAAGTGGAAGCAGCCATTTTACTACCATGAGGGGAAATCCTGTCTGTCAGTAATGCCAACATTAGGGAAGCAAAGCCAATAGGAAGAAAGGGAGAGAAATCAAGTTTTGGTCACATCTTTTGGGCTCTAGAACCAGCCGCATCTGAGGCTCAAGTTACCTCACCATTATGTGAGCCAATACTGTCACATTTCCTTTCAGCTAGTTGATATTGTGCTCTGTCACTTGCAACAGAAATTATTTCTGACAGATTTGCACAAAACCTGACATTAACTCAGCCACTCGACTGCAGCTCAACTCCAATGTGATACAGTTAAATGTAAATTGCATTTACCATAATGTGGGATGTGGTACATTTTAATACTTTGTATGAAGTAGAATGAAAGCTTCCAAAAATAAGAGATTTAGCATGGCCAAACTCCAAACCCTTGATTCTGAGATCTTGGGCTCCTGGGCAGATGTGTGAACTCTCTTGGGATACTAGGCATAGAGGGCAAGGAGCACTGGATTCAGAGTCAGTAGCCTAATGAACTGGAATACTTCCAGTGTGACCTCTGGCTGGCTAATTCCACTCTCCAAATCTCAGATTCCTCACCCATCAAATGGGAACAATGACTTCTGTGCCACAGACACGTTGTGAGGAATGATTCTTATAAACCAGTCTGACACACAGTAGGAACTTGCTATGTTATTTTTGAAGAGCAGGTAGTTCTAAAAGAGCTGGCCTGGCCTGCCTCCTTGGGTCTGCCTGACAAAGGGTGGTGGGGAGAAGAGCGGATTGCTCGATGGGGAAGAGTGGGAAACATACAGAGTTGGAAGGCCCAAATTAGCAGCACTTGAATTTCCAACTAACATCTCCAAATTTAGGCCAGGCCCACTCCTTGTTCCGGATGGCCGCCTAGCCAAGTTGGAAGCCCAGCAGTCTGGCCGTGTGTGGAGACTGAGGTGCAGGTTCCAGCCTTTTGTTTGAAGTGGAAAACGGGCTAGAGCTTCCAGGAACGTTCACCTTTGAGCAGAGGGCAAGCCTGGGCCTTGCAGAGTGCTGAACTCTGCAGAAAGGGACAGGCTGGGTAGGAAAACACTCTTTGGAGGATGACATCTTTCAAAGGCTGCAGAACATGGGCTGGCTTGGGAGACATCATTGGGACCCAGAGCACACAGTGGGTTGGGATGCAGTAAGGGACGACTGTGAGGGAAACCAGGGAACATGTGCAAGGCAGGTTGACAGAGAGGGTTTCTGGGCTCTGCGTTCCCCATGGACAATGCTGGAAGCTGCCTGTTCAACCTGAGCCCAAGCTCATTACCTCATATGGACAAAACAGCCAGAGCAAATTGAACAATGGTTACACCGTGCTGCTTCCGCACCCTACCATAACTGCCACCGCCTGGGAAACTATTTTCATCCCTTAAGGCTGGGTTCTGTGGCTGCCTCCTCTAGGAATCCTTCCCTGGCTGTCATTTGCCTCCCTGGGAAATTTCTCTTCTTCCTCCAATATTCCATCCATGCACCAAGTTTTACTGGGCCCTCATACTCTATCTCCTGAACTCTCTGGGCACCCATCTCATCCCAAACCATGCTCAATTGAGAAATTTCATACCTGCCTACCTCCTCCTTAGACCAGGCACTCGGGGTCAGGAATGTTTCCTTAGTTGCCCTATGGCTAAGCCAAAGACAGGGATGCCCAGAGCATCTATGATTAAATGATTAGGAGACTCACCAGGATGAATACAGTAAGGGTAACACACAAAAGAGTCTACAAGAAAACAGACTCTGCCTTCTAGGTACTTTAAAAATGTCCTAGAGATATCCCAGGATGTTCCCGCTGTGGGACAAGCTGTCTAAGGGGACAGAATGAGCTAAGGGCTAGAGATCTTCACCTATCCCACTTGGCTTCCCCTATACCTTTATTCAGCATTTATTGATTGCTGACCACAGACAGACATTTCCACATCCACTATGTATTTCATGGAAGAAAACAGAGCTCCAACAGGCAACAGGGCGTGTGAATGGCAGGGCGAGGATTTGAACTTGCCCTCACCACTGCAGCTCACTTCTTCTTTAACCAGTGCCAGAGAAGTCTGTGGGGAGATGAGGAAGAACAGGTGCTGCTTGCCAAAACCCTTTACCTACCCAGGTCCACAGGGCCACTATGGGCACAAAATGAGACTTTGGATGTGCAAGGAACTAACAGTGTTCAGCACACATGCTCTTTCCAGGCCTGGCTTGACTTCAGGGGCTGAGAAATAGGGCTTTTGCTTGGAATTCCCATCACTCCAGAACAGGGAGGACCCCTTAGGAAAAACCACAGGCCTAGAGTGATCACAAGTCCCCACCATAAACTCAAGGAGTGGGTAAAAAGCTAACAGGTCATACCTGAGTTTGACCTCACCTCTACTCCTGTATGACCCTGATCACCTATAGAGATTTAAAAATCACCTGTGATTGGCCCCAACTCAACTGCTTCAGTCAGAGAAAGTGACTATCCACCCTAGACCTTCGATGACTTAGTGGAACTTGATCCTCTTTCTCCTACTCCCACATCCAACCTTCTTTTTTCCAAACTAGAGTGGCAGTCCTGTTTCATCTAAACAATCGGGCCACTAGATGAAGTCTTTCCTAAAAACTAGACCTTTTTTAGCTATTTAAACCAAAAGTAATTCCCTTTCTGCTGAAAGCATTTTGAATTTCAGTTACTTACAACCAAATTGGTCCTAACAAAGTACCCTCTACCCTGAAAGGGTTTCAAGGCTCATAGCCCCCAAGAGGACTTGTTAGTGAGCACATACACAGGGGCTGATGAGAAAAATCTGATGTGCGTTGAGTCTCCAGGGAAAAATGTCTAGCACATGACACCAGATATTCAACAACTCTATGGAGTAAGAGGAAGTGCTGCCTACTGGTCCACATGGACGTGGGTTCAGAGAAGTGGCAAGTAGCAGGGTGGTACCTGAGCATGCAGGGGCTTGGGGTCAGAGCAGGAGTTACTACAACCAAGGGCCGGGACATCTGACATAAGGTTCAATGCATGTGTCCTACTCTGGCCAGAGATGTACGAGGCTGGCACCAGAGGTGGAGCAATCCAAGGAAGCTATTCTGTTGCTCTCTGGTCCCAGGCTGAGGCCGAAGGTCTCCAGCGGTGGAGTGATACATGACCTAGCTTCAAAGGGGAGGGGACTAACATTTAACTAACATCCTTAAGTGCCAGCATTACCATTCCCATTTTATAGATGAGGGCACTGAAGTTCGGCCAGATTAGGGCACCTTGATTCCCCAGCCTGACCTGCATCATTCTGGCTGGAGGTTGGAGGAAGTCTGTAGGTCAGAGCCATCGTTCCATTTCTTTGGTGATCCTACTGCCCTTTGGCCAGACACATGGAAAGATGGATCCAGGATTGGTTCCCATAAGCTCCCAGGCTGATAGGGCATGTAGGCACCAGGACAGACTGACAACCCAGGGGAGCAGATGGTGAACAGAGGCTGATGGAGGGGTGGCTGGGGGGTGGAACACTTCGGGGCCAGGGAAGGCTGGAGGCTGTTGAAGGAAGAGCCAGTAAACAGCACAGGGACAAAGAGAAGAACAGTCTCAGAAGAGGACACAGCATGGGGGGAGCCTGACATCCCCATCCAGGGAGTGGTGGCTGCCACATGCCTGCGACATGAGGCATAAGCACCAAGGAGGCCCTCCCGGCCTTGAGTGTCCCATCCAGGAGCACAACCCTTCTCCACCAGGTAGGTGGAGCCCACAGGTAAGTCTGGAGCTGGGTTGAAGTGCAGGAAGGCAGCGGGCTGGTCACTGCATTAGAAAGCTGAGTGGCCAGTAGAGAAAGGCCCAGATACAGAGCCTGAGACTGGGACCACATTCGCCAAGGTGAGGCAGCCGCAGCAAGTTTCTGGGAAGGTATGAAGCCAGAAGTAAGTGATGGTGGGAGTTAGGAGGAGGAGAGGAATCTCAGGATCAGGGCCTTAGTGGGCAGGATGGGTGTGGGTGGATACGCCAGCAGCCAAAGAGCCAGGACTCCAGCTTCCAGGGCTAAAAAGCAAGCTGAGGCCTAATCGGGACAGGTGGATTTGGGGCAACCTGGGAGCCCCAGGTCAGCGGGAAGCCAGGAGCCGGGAAAGGGGGAGCCACGTGTGGAGAAGGCGGCCATCGTGTGCCAGCTGAACCGTCACCAATATTAATGACGGGAGAGAGGGCGAGGGGGCAGGAAATCTGAGCCGGCTCCTGTGGAAGCGGTGACTCAGCGGCCGGCGGGCCGGGAGGCGGCTGCGGAGGGCGCGGGCGGGGGAGGGCG